CATGTAACTTGTGGGGTTTAGGAAGGGCAAATATACAAGTCTTAAATTCTAGGCAAAGATGCATGAATGAAAAAGGTCAATTTCGAGTGACACTGCCTACCAGAGTATGAACGACTGAAACACTAAACATGATTTTTGACTTAAAATGTTAGGTTAACTCCTATCAGCTAGTTGGCTTAAAGATGCTTTCAACTGTGTTTGACTTTTTGGTCTAGGTTTGATAACATTATTTCAGTGAATGAGTCATCTTTCAGGTTGGTATAGGTTTATATCTGTTAGCAGAGAGACTGTTTTGTTGAAATCTGTTCCATTCCAGGCTGTAAGGTAGTAGTCAAGGCTGACTGTTTTGTAAGCCTCATGCAGAAAAATAAAAACTAATCTAATCAAGTAGATTTTAAGTGATATAACAGTCTCTAGTAGCACAATCATCTAGAGGGCTCATGAAAGCTATACCTGCATCAGCAGATTGTCTTTCGGCTTTTTTCCATTCTTAATCTGGCATTTTCCAACTAGTAATGTTGCAAACTTGTATCTATGCTGAAAAGCACGAAAGGGAAAAAAAATGATGCTGAAGCTTGATATTTAAAATTTCAGGTGTCTTAGATATCTTATCCACAGATCTGCCAAAAGGTGTTAAAGTTCAAACTAAGCATTTGGAAGCATTGATTGAGTTGCACCATACGACGGGGAGCTTTGCTCGGAACATTCAGCACCTATTTTCAAATGCAGATCTTCAGGTTTTGCTGGATACAATGAAATCAATCTACCATCCTTATGAATCATTTAAACAAAGGTAAATCCATATTGTGTAGAGATGTTGTGTTCCTGTTTTACTCCTATTTCATGCAATGATGCTTGAGAGACAATTTACTTTTCTTCGCTAGTTGTCCAGATGGACATAGGTTCTTCTTCTCTCTGTAGGAGCTGTACTGCTGGTTTTTGATGCAGTACACCTTGGCTAGGTATCTTAGTTTTAGCAGTATGTGTTGGTTTTTTTGTTGGGAGGTATCTACTCAAAGTCGATTAAGAACTGTGTATTTCATGTAACATGACAATATTTCTTCTCTTCTCATTATCTCATGGAAATGGCTTTGGCGGTAGTAGTGAGAGGGAGGTTGTCTAAGCTGTTGCACTCAGTTTTCACTTTACTGTTGTGCCTTGATATTTTGTGATGACAGCCTACTCATTGACCTGTCTGCTAGGTATGGACAAATGGAGCGTGTTATCCTCTCCGGTGAGATTGCTGGACTTGATCTCAGGGGAGTAACTTTTAGTCGCTTTGTTGGAGTCCATGGAGTTGAACTCAGTGAAACCGTCCGAAGAATGGAAGAGTCCATTCCACAAGTGATTATACTTCTTGAGGCAGCTGTTGAAAGATGCATCAACTTCACAGGAGGTTCTGAGGCAGATGAGCTTATTCTTGCACTTGATGACATACTGTTACAATACATCTCCGCCCTGCAAGAAATTCTAAAATCATTGAGAGCTGTGTGTGGAGTGGATGCAATTGATGGCTTGGCTTCAAAGAAGGATCTTGGAGCTGACAGAAAGGATGGAACTTCTCATGCACGTAAAGCTGACTTTTTGTCCAATGAGGAAGAATGGTCCTTTGTCCAAGCTACACTGCAGATTCTCACAGTTGCAGATTGTTTGTCTAGCAGATCATCGGTCTTTGAGGCTTCTTTAAGAGCCACTCTTGCTCGATTAAACACAAATCTCTCTCTTTTAGTTTTTGGCTCTAGTCTTGATAAAAACCATTCCCATGTGGTCAATGAGGACAGAAGTGGGGAACCATCTACTATTGGTAGAGCAGCTTTGGATATTGCAGCTTTGAGGCTTGTTGCTGTCCCTGAGAAGGCTAGGAAGCTTTTCAACCTATTGGAGCAGGTACTTGAAAGAGGATAAATGTAAATGTTGTTTTGGAAAAAGTTAGGAGAAAGTGTAAAAGGTAAAAACAACTTATAAATGTTTGTTTGAAGATCATGGAAAATATATATGTTTTTTAAACTTTAACAAGCAGGATTCAGGACGGGACAAAATATATGATGTGATGTCGTGATAGATGGGGAATTGGAGCATATAGTAGATAAGTGGTTTCAGTGAACTTCAATACTAATATCACTCTTAGCATATGTCCAGTGAATTGTTCTGAATGATAACATTGAGAAAAAAAATTCAAAATATTGTTGTCAATCTTGACCCACTGCTTGTATTTCTGATTTAATTGTGCCTATTGATTGTTTATCTGAAAATTTTCTCCTTGAATACTGATATAGCCTAGGAAAATGCATGATCTGATCTTTTAGTCATAACCAACATTTGATGTTGCATGCAGTCTAAAGATCCTCGGTTTCATGCGCTTCCGCTTGCATCCCAACGAGTTACAGCATTTGCAGATGCTGTCAATGAGCTTGTTTATGATGTTCTTATATCAAAAGTACGGCAACAGTTTAATGATCTGTCTCGTCTGCCAGTGTGGTCTTCAGTGGATGAACCTAGTGCTTTCCCCCTCCCAAGTTTTAGTTCATATCCTCAGTCTTATGTAACCAATGTTGGTGAATATCTTCTCACCTTACCCCAGCAATTAGAACCGCTTGCCGAGGGCATTTCCAGCAGTGATACTAATGCAGATGAGGCTCAGTTTTTTGCAACTGAATGGATGTTCAAGGTAACTACAAAATATTACAGTTTACTGTCACAATAATATACTTCAAAGAAATGCTGGTCTAGCCATCTAACATGCTTGCAGCAAAGTGGGGCGGGTTTGCTTGTGGGGCTCGGCTGGTTTGTAAATAAACAAGTGTTGGTGCCGCAGAAGGCTGAAACTCTTGTGATTACACATATTAGACAAAATAATTGGAAGTCCTTACATATTGAGAACTTAACAGCATGTTCTTTTGATTGAGTTGCTGTTCTTCTTTTAGTTACTCCAATTGGAGAACTTAACAGTTTCTCCAATGTGGGATGAATAATTTGCTTCAGTTTTCTTTTCAAACCTGCAAAAGGTTATTGCTCATGGCTATGGTTTAGTTATTCTTTCTTTTGTTTATCATAAAAGGTTGCAGAGGGTGCTTCTACTCTTTACATGGAACAACTGCGTGGTATTCAGTATGTAACTGATCGTGGAGCACAACAGCTGGCTGCTGATATTGAGTACTTGAGTAATGTGCTTTCTGCTCTATCAATGCCAATTCCTTCAGTACTTGCTACTTTTCAGACTTGCCTATCAACCCCAAGAGAGCAGCTTAAGGATCTTGTCAAATCGTCGGACTCAGGGAATCAACTAGATCTTCCTACTGCGAACCTTGTATGCAAGATGCGGCGACTGAGCTTGGATTAATATTGCAGTTTTTAAGGTGATATACCAGATGTTTGCTTACAAGTTACCCTTTCTTGGACCATTCTGGAGATATTCAGAGATACCCAGCCTCAAATGAGGGTTGCAAGATCTGGAGAGATTCAGAGATACTCAACCTCAATGAGGGTTTGCAGGATTTGGGAACTAAACACTGCCTCCGGGCATTTTATACAGAAGGGGAGGATTATGTGCTCTGGCAGCATATGGTTCTGACTTTCAAGTCTTACTGTACAATATGCACAGCTTGTGTTCCCCGCAAATTAACTCGGATGAGTAGACCTTTGAAATCAAATTCCAGTTAAGTTGACATGTTGTCCTTGGACAACTTAATTGATCAGATTTTTTTTTCCAGGAGGTATCACACGAGCAAATGAAATTACTTATAGGAGACCATGTAAGATACAGCCTTCCTACATTTGAAGTTCAATCAATATAGGCGATGTTTTTCCAAAAAAAAACACGGGGCTAAACCATCTAGAGCAATAGAAAAAAGGTCTAGCAATGTAGGACTCTATTTGCGAAGGAAAAAAGAACAAAACTGAAAACCTATCTAATCTGCATTAGCTATAGCGTTCAATCACCTTCAAGCCTCCATCACCAACCCAAGTAATAGATCTTCAAAATCCCTCCAGTTGGTATAGTAAAATTGACGATTTGACTCACAAAAGAAGACGCCTGTGTGCCAACATATGGTTCTTTTAGGATTCGAATGATCACCAAAAGAGGGCTCTCCAATTGTTTCACAATTTTTAACCAACTTCAGAGAAAAAAAAAATGGCTACCTCAAAATTTTGGTACTCCAATAACAGTTGCGTTTCAGATGCAGCCAGCCCATCAGAATCAAAACCTGAAAAACTGCACCTTGCACAAATACATGGAAAGATGTTCACAGTTTGCAAATTGAATCCGCTATATTTCAATTTACGACACCCCCTTTGCAAACTTAAGATTGAACTTCTGCAATAAGACCTCCAAGCGAGAATCTTCAGTGCTAGATTCTTCATAGGGGAGAAGACTCCCATCCTAGTGCACAGACTAAGGCAGGTGGAAGTTAACATACCATGTCTGAATATGCAAAGAACCAATATATCCATTTCCAAACATTCAATGAATGGTTCTGCCAAGCCAAAAAAGAAATATCTTGGACCTTGTCTTGTGTGCGACAGGTTTATTTGAACAAAAAATGGTTGCTAAGTTGGTTTGAAACAGCCAAAACGCCCAAGCAAATTTCCGTGGACAAATTCAAAAGCTAATATGAAGGACGAGATCAAGATTACCATTGACTATTAAGGGTCATCCGCAACTTGCTCTTATATCTTTGACTAAATTATGTGTTCTTATCCATAACCAGATTGCTTTTAAACTTCTCTTCTTTTATGTTGTCTGGTTAGCTGCCTTTTCATCTTCATAGTGCCTGCAGAGTTCAACTCGTTGAGTGAACAGACATTAAGGCACTTAATCAAGGAAGAATGAGTTTACCTTTTTTTCAAAAATCATCAGATAAATTATCAGAGAAAACCTAAGGAGATCCCTATTCATTAGCTCATTGGCAGCTAATGTAAGTGGAGTACAAGAATCTGCAATCGGTCATCTGAGCAGACAAGAAAACACAAAGCCCAAACTATTGATAGTTAGGAAGTCATTTTACGGTTAAGAAAATCAAAATTTACTTGTTACCTCACAGTTGATCAAACTGTTAACTCCTTCAGCAGCAGTAATATCCATGCACATATAGAGTATCTGTTCTATAACTACTTGAGAAAAGATTCCCAGAGTGATCCCAAAAAAGAAGGAACCAGAACTCTGGTAGGCATATCACAGATGATTGATAAATCAATTAGATCAACCAAAGTCTAGATAGATCATTGAATAGTTACAACAACGAAGTCATACCTACCTCAACCTTTTCTCTCTAAATATATCGATGATAGGGAGATGATACAGTCTCAATAAAGCTGTAAGAACAAAGAAGAGTTTCACCCATGATGACCATAGAACTTTGACTCCAAAAGTATACATTCATGAAAACTGGTGAGTGGTGGAAAAACTACCTCTTCTCATTTAAAATTCAAACACCCATCCAATGTCCTCAATATTGACGGACTGGACTCCTGGATGATCTCCGGTTACCATATCTAACAGGAGAACGTGACCGGCTTCTGTCACGCTGGCGGTATCTTTCCCTGCTTCTATCTCTTCCATTCCGGGAACTGCTGTACTTCCAATCTGATCCTCTAACCCCCTCTCGAGTTTCTCTGCTATTCCCCTCTCGAGATCTTTCACGGTCACCATCTCGCTCCCTGTATCGATCTCGTTCCCGATTGTGATCTCGATCACGATACCTGTCCCTCTCAGATGACTCACTTCTTCCATGTCTGCTTTCATACTCTTTCTCCCTTTGCTTCCTCCTTTCTTCTGCTTCTTTTTCCCGGGCTATTCTTTCTTCCTCTCTTTTCTTCTCCTTAGCTTCCTGTTAATCAGAAAACAGATGAGCTTTATATGTAAAATCTCCTTCGAACATTTTCCTAAAATGTAAAATATGGTGGGGAATCACCTTGTACTCTGCAAGATAATCTCGGACCATACCATATCCCATATGCTGTTTTCCAGTGACATGCGACTGAGTTCTCTCAGCAGCATCATTTGCAACTAGAAAAGAACCACATATCTCACACAGAGCCATCTTTTTCTCCTGTGCCATCATCAAGACTTTATCTTGTTGAGGTTGCTGTGTTAAAGCTGTCTTCTCAGCATTGAGCACTTCCACCTGTTAAGTGACACAAATCTGGCATAAGTTTCCATAGCTTTCAAGTGAAACTTTACAAATTCGTTAAATCAGGTTCCTAAACCACACCTTCCTCATGAGCGCTTCGGCTTCGTCAACCTTTCCAGCTTCACCAAGAGACTCCACTTGTTCCAGTAGGTTCTTTATTTTTTCCTCCAAAACAGCTAATTGCTCGGACTTTTCTGCTGGGATAGGAGGAGGAGGGGGAACGTCAATCTCTTGAGCAAGACGTTCTCGACCACGCCTAACTCGTCTATCTAAGTCCATAACCTGAAACAAAATATGGATTTACACATCAAGAAGTGGATAGAAAGGGTAAGCAGAATTTAAATGTATATCACCCCTTACCAATTTCTCACAGAAATGAGCCAGCTCAGCCTCAAACTTTGGAACAAATACGTCGTGCCTAGGAGACTTCTCAAAGCTAAAAGAGAAATTATAACAAACTCTCATCACTACCATTAAAGGAAAATATTGGCAAACAGTGCACTAAGCCCACAAGTATTTTCTTCTTCAGGGTTCATGAAAAATAAGGGCAGAAAAGTACATGCATCTAATTCTTGCATCCAGCCTCTGATTGTGCAAGTAAGTAGCATAGGATCACCAATTATACAAAATATAGGGAAAGTGTAGATGAAAGAAAAAGAAGAGGGAGGCCAGCTAACAAGTGAATGTGATTATTGGCAAGAAGGGAATCCAAGAAGATCAATCAAACGTTCAAACTTCTAATAGTATCAACACATCTTAAATGTTTTAGGGATGTATTTATAGTTGGAAACCACAAGTTATAACTCCACTTATAGGTTGGCTGACTGCCTAAGAAAATTTCCATATGTGTTTGACGAAAATGGACATGCTCAAGTGAATATCTCTCCACTGTAATCGCTTTATTACATGCCAATTTGAAGCCAAAAGGTAAAAACACTAGTCATAATTTATTCATTAAGCATAAGATTGTCAAAGAAAGATCTCATAAAACAAGTCACAGTGCCCTAATATGAACTGATTGACTCCTCCAAATCTCAAGCAATCAAAGCATAATTTCTTGAGAGTTTAAAACATGTTAGCTTCCCAGTTATCTGGTTCTTTTACAAATAAATCAAAATATATTAGTATGGAGGGTATTTACACCATGTTAGCAACATAAAAAACAATGAACAGAACCATTAAAATACAAGGATGGCATCCTGAAAAACAGCAACAAAATAAAGTTCTATACTTTTGCAAAATCAAAGCTTACAGAGAACCTCTGTGCAATGAACTGATATGAGAGATAAACTTGCTCTGAAGAATACTCATACATTACCTTTCCTTCAACTTTTGATCATGAATTTTAGGGCATGGTCCTGATAAAAACACAACATGAATAACTATCAGCAAAAGTTATGGGCGCTCAAGCATTCCATCCATTGACTACATAAAACACAGCAAGTATCCCCATATCCACATGATAGCTAATGGTCCTAAATTATTAGATTTCCCTTTTCTGAATATGTTCCTTCATTGCATCTTAAGAACGAATTCTAATGCACTGCCTTATCAATCTAAAGCAGAAAACAAGAAATCAAGAGGCAGACAGATATAGTATAAGCACCTAGATCACTTCTTGTGTTGACAAACAAATCGTGGGGGCAAAAGCGAACCATATAGAAGCTGCACACTTCCTTACTGTCCCATGTAATTTCCTTGTACCCCTTCCTCTCTTCTTCAGTCAAATTACGAGCTACAGAAGCAACAAAAAATTAAAATCAGCAGTCGTTTCAGTTAAAAAAGAAAAGAAAAAAAAAGGAAACCGGGGCGGTACAGATTCAAATGCATTCTACAATTACTCAGCTAAAGTGTCCAATTAACAACATCCCAATTCCCAATATAGAGGCACTACAGTTAAAACGCTGTATTTCGCTACATCCCCATAAAAACAAGCTTTAGGATTAGGATCGGCCAATAGGAAAAACCATATTATAAGTGTTTTGCCCAAGCTTATTCATTGTACCCACAAATTTCAATTGAGCCAGGAACCGGCTGCTAGGGGTTTCTAATAATATATAGCAGTGCTAAAATCCACTGAAATAAACTAGAGAAGAAGACAGAGAGACGAAAATTACACTAGAAATCTGAATTAATGAAAACATTGAGTTATAGATTTCGGTGAAACATCACTAGCAAACATTAAAAAAGATTAAGGAAGGAGATAAACCTGCACCCATGAGTTCATCAAGCAAAGCTCTTTGGGCGTCCATGATTGAGATTGGAAAAAAACTAAAAGAAAACAAGATTAATCTAGGCCGCCTAGATAATAAACTGGAATGTGCAGCCCCCTTTCAATCTAATCTAATTTTTAGATTAGACTTTTGCTGAGGAGCGAAAAGTGATGAGAATTATTTTTATTATTAGGGTTTTATTATTATGTTTCAGGCTTTTATTGTTAGGGATTCTAATCATATAGTGAAGGAGTAAAAGGACTCCTCAGCAAAAAGGGATTTTACCCTCTTACGTGAATACTAGCAGATAGTCGGAATGTGCAAAATTAGAATTTTTTTTTTTTAATTGTTACACAAGCTCAATCACCAAAATCGGAGGAGTATTAACCTTAATTTGATAAGGCTAATTCCATTTTGCATCCTTAAATTTATACCACTTTTTTAATTTACATCTTAAATTTTAATTTTAGACACTTTACATTCTAAACTCTTAATTTTGGATACTTTACACCTTAAACTGTCAAATTTATCCATTTAAATCCAATCAATGATTGCGTTTATAAAATTAACAAGATAAAAGCTATTCAAAATTAATGACAATATTGTACTATTTTGTTCTCACTGCGATGTTTTAGTTTTTTTTTTTTGACTATTTTTAGCACATTATCGTTGATTTATATGGTTTTAATTACTAATATTGATAACAAAATTAATGAAATAAGAGATGATGCCAATTAATGATAATGTGTTATTTTATTTTTGCTATGATATTTTGATACATTTTGACCACTTTCGATACAGTATCATTGATTTGTTAGGTTACCTGTACCATTAATTTTGTTAAAATTATCATTGATTTAAATGTGACAAATTTGGGAGTTTATGATATAAAGCGTTTAAATTTGAAAGTTTTAGATGCAAGTGTTCAAAGTTGAAATTTAGAATATAAAATGAAAATGTGATACAAGGTGGAGCCAATAATGGCCGCGACCGTAGGGGGTGGGGAGGGGTTGCCCCAATTTTTGGGATTTATGAGTTAGTCCTTAAGAAATTTTGAAAATTTTCGTTCGGTCTTTCTTTTACCTCCCCCTAAATTTTGACAAAAATTTCAATGCATCCCTCTATCTAGTTTTTGCTTAATGAAAATTTTGAACATCCACTCCTCTTTTATTACTTTTGACCTTACTATTAATTTGATTAATGTATGAAATTCAAATTGTAATTGATGAGTTTGGCATTACATATTGAATTGTTGAAAACTTTATCTATTATGTCAAGAAAATATTCGTTAAAAGTTAAATTGCATACACCTATCAATCAATTTTTTGTTTTCGTTCCCATTTTTAATATACCAATTTTGAAAATTATATACTTGGCTCTACATATATATGATTTCCTACATGTGAAGCAGACAAGATTTGAACATTTTGAGAAGTTCTCCCTATAACCATATAAAAGTAACGTTCGCATTAATTGGTATTATTGTTATTGTTGTGTACTTTCCATTTGCAATCTAAAGCATGATTACTATTCAAAGTTTGATACTAGAGAACATTCAAGTTGTACTTTTCCCCTCAAGGATTGTGGGAATGAGAAGCTAACAAAAATGTTTCCCCTCTCCCTACGTACCACAATTTTCGTATTATTTTTTTAAATTTCTGCTGGTTTTACATGTAAGCCCATGGTTATTTTGTCATCACCTGGTATTTAGAAGCCAAGAAAGGGCCTTTGTATGGGATAATAATAAAATAGCAACAGAAATGAAGAAAATATATGGTCCAAGTCCGACCATCTATACATTCTTCCCTGTTATTAATATTATCCGAGGACAATATTTTGTGGCTGCCCTTCATTTTTTAATCGATTAACTAACTCCTTAGCCAGCCGTCAATGGCCGATAGCTCTTCCAACCAGCAGCAATTGTTTATACTCTGTTTCAATTCTCTCACGCCTGAGCAGCCATGAACGACAGAGTGGACAAGCTGGTGATTTTTCTAGCCAAAAGAGATGGCATTGACAAGCTCGTCAAGACCTTTCAGTATGTTTCCAAGCTGGTTCACTGGCACGTTGAGGCCACCCGCCCTGAGATGGCCCAGAGGGCCAAGCAATGGGAATTCGCCTCTGGCTTAAGCCGGAAAGCTTTCCGCAGCGGCCGTTTTCTCACCGGCTTCAATGCTCTTAGAAGAAATCCAGGCTCAACCCCGACGCTCAAGTTCCTAGCCGTCCTTGCCAATGGTGGGGAAATGGTCTATTTCTTCTTCGACCATTTTCTCTGGTTGGCAAGAATTGGTGTATTGGATGGGAAACTGGCTCGGAGGATGAGCTTCATATCTGCGTTTGGCGAGTCATTTGGTTACATATTCTTCATAGTGTCCGATTTCATCCTGATTACAGAAGGGATCAGGGCAGAGAGAAAATTACGAGTGGCTAAGGAGGAAGGTTCAAAGGATGAAGAAGAGAATACTAGCAGTAGTATTAAGAAGATCAGAGTGGATAGAGTGATGAGATTGATGGCGGTGGCAGCAAACGTGGCAGACCTTGTCATTGCCTTGGCAGATATTGAGCCCAATCCATTTTGCAACCATGCCGTTTCACTGGGAATCAGCGGTTTGGTCTCTGCCTGGGCTGGTTGGTATAGAAATTGGCCCTCCTGAGCCTTGATGGACTACTACTGTACTGACTGCAAGCATACCAGAATCATTTCCAGTTGAAAAGTTAATTGAAGAAGTCTTCAATCTTGATGCTGCTTTTATGGTGTTTTATTTACTCTGTATGAGTTTGTCCTGTCGTTATATACAAGAAGATTGAGTTTGTATACAGTCTTTTTTTTTTTTTTTTTTTTTTTTTGGGGGTAGTATGAATTAAAAAATCATTTCGATAGAGATGTGTATTTTTTGTGTGTTTTTTGGGGGGCGGGGGGGATCTAGACATGGCAGTAATCATCTTTTTTGGCAGTTCTACGAGCCTGTAATTTGGGCGAAAAAAAAAGGTGAAGATAAATAAATTCTGTAAAAATGAGAACAATTGGAAAAATAAATGGTTGCGTGAGGACCGAGTTGCAAAATAGAGGATTACCATGCAATTAACATCTGGCAACGACAAGAGGAAGCTTCCCCAAACTCGTACAAGAAATGACGTCATAAACCGAAATCCATATCCTCAATTAGCTGAGGAGTGAGGAGGTTCCTCTCTCTCTCTATTCTTTTTTTTTTTTATAAATTAAAATTTAAGTAGTAGTCTTTCAAGTTTCAATTCATTGCAAACACGCGTTTACTATTAAATATTTCTGGGCTGCGTCCTCTAGATTCAGTCTTCTTCTTCGCCGCTGAATTTGGCCCTTTTGTATTAATACTTTACTTAACGGTTACTGAGCCAACCATTAACTTAATTCTACTATTAACCACCTCCACTTCACTTCTGAGCGATCACCCGTGACGAAATTTCCAGAAAGGTATGGAATTTTTCTACCAGTTGCTCATACCCTTTTCATGCTTCTCTTGTTCAATTGTTTTTCCTTCGGATTTCTTTGTTTCTTTTTGTTTAATTTGTGAGATTGATTTTAGTGGGGTCAGAACTGAGAAGCGATGGCGGAAGGTGGGGGAAATCCGTCGAGGTATGTCAAGTTGACTAAGGAGCAAGCGGCCCCTTCTGAGGACATTAAGCCAGGCGAGCTCAATCAACCGATTGAAGTCCCTCAGGTATAATATTTTCCATCTATTAACTTTTTTTTTTAACTCAAATATTTCGTTTTGGAAATTGGGCAATTAAATTGAGAAAATTTGGGAGGGTCATCTATTAGAATGTTATGGTCGTGTGAAAATGAATAGTAACTTAAGATATTTTGATGTAGGGATCAATATGCAGATTCACCGCATGCATAAGATTAGAATCATGTTTGGATTATTGACAATGTGCTTCAGACTAGCTGTCAATCATTCCCTTACCCCCTGAAATCTTGCCATAAGTTGTTTCTTGTGGAGGATCTGACTGAAGTGTAATCGAATTGCCAATCACCAATCACATCGACTCTAGTCCATTTAGTAGTTGTTTTGGACATTTTCACTCACAAATCAAGGAAACCAGGTGTAAAGGGCAGCAAATAATCTCGCCCTCTATCGAGAAATAGAGCCGTCCTTATTTTCCAATTTCGCTCTGGTAGAGGCTAAGAGAAACAAGAGAAGTATTAAAAAAAATAGCTTTATCTTATCATTTTTTTATTCCTCAGTTCCATTTCCTTTAATCTTCCCAATTTGTGCAGTGTAACATTGTTTATTTTGGCAAATTGCCTCAACCTCGTGAAGCATTTTCCTTCTTTAACTTATCAAAACGGAACTGGAAGGAAAAAAGAAAATGTGAAGCAAGAGGAACAAGTCAGCTTGATTAGATTAAATTTCTTTAGTCCTCCTTCCGTTTCCATTACCTATCAAATGCAAGTCAGTCACTCAGATCCACTTCCCTTTCCCTTCCCACTTTTCATTCTATTGAGCTGGCTGTTAGTCTTGTATTTTATCTGTTGTGCAACTTTCCTTAGAAAATTAGTGTAATGGAAACCAATTGAAGCACTTTGGGTTGAAGGAATTGAAATGAGCTTAGGTATTGCATACATTTGCTAAGCGGATTTAAGAATCTTCATCTTCTTATGATTCAATGGCTGGCCACATATCGGGTGCTTATGCCATAATTCAATGTGCAGTTGGGTGTTCGCAAGTGCAATGAGTGTGGGCAACCTTTACCCGAAAGCTTTGAGCCTCCTGCTGATGAGCCATGGACCACTGGGATATTTGGCTGTACTGAAGATACTGAAAGCTGTGAGTTTAACCCGAGGAAGTTCCGATTGGTTTAGGGGCAAAACTTCTTGTTTAATTTGGCACTTAAAAGTTTCATTTCTGGCTGTTCAGCAGCCATAACTACATTTACTCTATCTTTTTTAGGTGATGGCAATGCCATTTAGTAGAACTTGTCACTCGTCTTGTGATTTTAGATGCTCATGTTGAACTAGGTTAACTTTGATCAAGTTCCTTGCAACCCTCGTGCACATGTAAGCTTGCAGAAATTTTAGAAATTTGTATGAATGGATTTTTTTCTCCCGTATCAATGTTATGTCGTTATATTGTTTCCCACATGTCATACTTCCTGTCCTCTCCAAAGATTGGTGTCTCTTAGTTTTTTTCTGAACGAAGCTTTGTTCTGAGACATAAAGGGGTTTGT